CGCGGGGACGGAGCTGAGGGGTCTGTCCTTCCCGCAGGCTGATCTTCGGCACCCTCTATCCCGCGTACTCCTCTTACAAGGCCGTGAAGACGAAAAACGTGAAGGAATATGTGAGTTGGCCGTGGCAGCCCAGTCCGAGGCCGGGCGAGGGTCTCCGGGGGGGTTGGGGGGTGCCCGGGAGGGCGGGCGCTCACCCGAGGGGGGGGCTTCAAACCGCGAACGTGGGATGGTTCTTCTCCAGAGACGCTGAGGGAGGAAGGGACAGCAGGGTAAAACACTGCAGTGTGTCTTGGATGTATCTTTCGATGCATCTTTCAGTGCATCTGAAAGTCCAGGACGAGACCTTTCTTCTAATATTATCCTTACTCTGTGTCTTATTACTGCTTTTTCAGTATTACTTTTGTTTTCTTCCAAAAGGCTGAGTGATTTTGCTTGGTTTGTGTCTTCCTGTCAACATGACTTGTGATCAGTGTTTTCTGTTGGTCAAGATTTCACCCTTCTTCCTTTTTGGAATCGTTTCCCCTTCTCCGTCTACACCATTGTTACAATTACCGTATTTAAAATACTACATGTTTCTTAGTGATGTGTCATCTTCTTACAGAAGGGGTGTTCTGAGTTAATCAGTGGAGACGAGCTATTTGGCTTATGGGTGGGATGAACTTCCATTTATCTAGAACAAGGAATAACCTGATGGAGAAGAGAGGTAACATGGGTGAATATAGGGTATAATTTGTCACTGTTGCTTTGTGGTGCAGTCAGAGACTCTTCGTTGAGCTGGCTTTGTTTGCTCCTTACAAAATGACACGTCAACAATAAATATTGCAGGGTATAGTCCTTTTTTGTGTCATGATGCTTCAGTCCTCTAGAATTGCCTAGACTTTTCTGTGTGATGGCCTGAAATTCAGCCCGCTGGTTTTTGAAGGCGATGCCAGGTGAGGTGAGAGTCTCACTCATAGTGGACAGCTTTACAAACCTCAACATCTGGTGGAGGTGTTTTGGGGTGGTTTTTTTTTTTTTTTTGTAAATACCGGTCTTAGTGGAGAAGTCAAAATGTGAATGTTCAGGAGGTAGCCATAACTAATATAGTGTTTTGAGTGATTATTAGAGTTACAGTCAGAAATACGATGAGCCTTACTAAACTTTGAACTTTATTACTAATAACATTAGAAACTGAAAAGAAAGCATGAAAGGAACTATCTGAGTAATCTTATGATCCTGTGGCTTCATAGTTATCCTTGAAGTTACGTTCAAAGTAGTATCATGTTACTGTTGTCTTCTCTGGCCTCCCTGTCCTCTTTCTTTCCAGTTGCCTATGACCTTCATTTGTTGTGTGAAACGCACAACTGTCTGTCATGGAATGATTGTGTTCCAGTTACAGAATCTGTGTTAACTTTAAGACAGACTCAGATTTCTGAGTTTTAACTTGAAGCTCTGTGGGAAGGGACCCGGATGTCCTGGTGGACAAACAGCTCAATAGGATGCGTCAACCAGGGCATCACCAGCAGAGATAAAGAATCAGTATCCCACTTAGTGCTTGTCAGGCCTCACCTGGAATACGGTGTTCAGTTTTGGTCTCCGCTGCACAAAAAAAAGATGTGATCAGGCTGGAGAGGGTCTAGAGAAGGGCCATAATATGACCCAAGGAGATGGAAGCCTGCCATGAGAGGAAAGGCTAACCGTATGGGTTGGTTTGGTGTTGAGAAAAGAAGGCTCAGGGGAGACCTTGCCACCATGTTCCAGTACGTAAAGGGTGGCTGCAAAGAAAACGGAGACTCCCTCTTTACAAGGCGTCGCATGGAAAGGCCAAGGGGTAATGGGTACAAGTTACTCCTGGGGAGACTGAATTGGACACAAGAGGAAAATTTTTCACAATGATAACAATCGACCGTTGGAATAATCTCCCCAGGGAAGCAGTGAATTCCCCATCCTTGGACACTTTTAAGATCCAGCTGGACAGGGTGCTGGGCCATCTCATCCAGACCAGGCTTTTGACAAGAAAGGTTGGACCAGATGATCCTTCAAGTCCCTTTCAACCTGGTATTCAGTGATTGTTTCGTTGAGAACTTGAGGGGAAAAAAAACCCCACCACCTCATTTTTTTTAAAACAGTCTATTAAGATGCTTGTTCTGAAGGTCAAAGACTCAGTAAATATGGAGCCTTTGAATTTGTAGGCATTCTTTACAGTAAAAACCTGCTTGCTTTCTGTGGGTAGGTTAGTGGTTGAGGTACATAAATGCTGTGTTTCCTTGCAGAATGTAAACACTGTATTGATCTGATTTTCTTTTGGTAGAAGTTGCCTAAATTGCTGTAAGACTTCTTTAATCTGATGGTGAAAAAGAAATGAGATACAATACTTGAGTATCATAAAGTCATCTTAACAATAATATCAACCAATCACCTGGTTGTAAGCCCCACTAGGGCTGATGTAGAAAAGTATGGAATTCATTTTGGAGTTTTGTATAGTGCTTCATTGATACGGTTGTCTTGAAATAGATAGTTCTGGATTGCTGCAGCAGGAAATTTTCTCTTGCTTTTGTTTTCAATAGAAATGCTGGACTTGGTTCAAGAAAATGTATTTGAATTGCTAAAACTTACATATAAATTATTTCTCCTTGAGAAGGCTACATCAGAAATAAGCATTTAGATGTTGTACTGCTATCTGTCTAATATACTTATCTTTGGGGGACTTCTTCCTTCTCATGTAAGTGAGAAAAAACAATTTTGTTAAACGTGGGAAAGGGGACCAATATCTGTTCATACTGTTCTTCATGTGAAAAGTCAGTGGGAAACTTGAACGCTGTGCTGCACGGTTTCAAACTGCACGCTGTGTCTGTGTGCTACCACTTGCTCATAGTGCTTAAGAGCCAACATTGGTAGGGGAGAAAGATCTTACAGGTGTATCTGTGCTAGAGAGTCTGGTGTATTGAAGATTGACTTGATGCAGATTAAGCAGTCTGTCGCTGGCACCAGACAACAGTGCAAACTTACTCTTCTCTTCCACCATGATATAAATTTATGGTAAGTCCTTGAGCAGTTTTGACAAACTGCTTCTAGTAGCTCAGACTGTTTTAAAAGTAATATCTTTTTACGTGTCATCTTCAGCATTGGTCGTATCTACATTCCAGTTATGCTTTTGCATTTTCTGAATTTATTTAGGTTCTCGGTGCAGGTTGGGGAGACTACATGTGTGCAGCTAGCTGAAGCTGGTGGTCCTTTTTAATGGACTTAAAAAATACATAGCCTGGTTTGGCCTTCTGTTTTTGAAGGTGTTTGTGCTCTGGGGGTTACAAACATCATAAGAAAAAAACCCAGTCATTCTTCCCCTCTGCTTTCTGTTCGTCTAGTTTCTGGTTGTCTGCACTACAGGAACTTCTAGACCTAAACTAGTTTATTTAAGAGCTCTGTTTTCTTTTTGTCTTCTGGCTGTAGAACATAGGGTAAAGTGTGGCAGGAGGAGACAGAGGGCAAGAGACCTGTGTCCAGAATCAAAGATGTGAACATGCAGTTTCTTTAAACAGTTAACAAAACAACGTTTTCTATTCCTCTCTTCTGATACTCCGAGCATTCTGTTAGCAGAACGAAAAAGTCTAATGAGCACCGAGCTTTATGGTTGCATCAGCCTGTCTACGGCTCCTGAGTGGAATGAGCTAATTTATCTAATCACAAGTTTTCACTACGAAAGAGCAGATGCTGTAATTTCATTACTTTATACTTAATGACATTTAGCAACAAAATACCAGCTGGAGATCAATCAGTATAGATTCCTTTCTGAATTCTCTAATCAACTCATACCTCATCACCTGGATAGAAAAGTATCTTCTTCACGTTTTGTCATCTTATTATTCGCAACCTTTTCCAGATCTTTCATGAAGATGAGCAGCACAGATCTCAACACTGATTCCTGTGGGATTCCACTGGTAACTTTCCTTGTTGTGCCAAATGGCCATTTATTTTTATCCTTTGTTTCCTCTCTTTTAGCCAATTGTTAGTCCTAAAGAGTCCCTTCCTTTTTATCCTTGACAATTTCTTTGAGTGTTTATTTAGGCCTGTTGGAAACTTTGTAGAAACTCCATGCACCCAGCCTCTAAGGGAAGCGCTATAGAAAGAGCTTATGGAAACCTTCTAAGAATCCTGCTATGTTTGTGAGAGAGTATTTTTCTGGAAAAAAAAAACCAAACCCATGTTCCTCATTATGTTACAAATATCTATGTATCTGCTAATTGCTTTTACTATTATTGCCTTCATTTTCCTAATACTGAAGTAAGACTTACTGGTATGTAGCTTCTCCGAAATCTCTTGCCCAGTGGGATCCCTGTTTGCCACCTTTGATTTGTCATTACTTGCACACTTTTTCATACAAGAGCTGATCTATGTTGGTGCATTGAAGAGTTAACCACTCATTTTGTAGAGTTCCTTTAGAAGTGAAGTGAATGACACTGGGTCCTAGTCCTGTCCAAACTGATGATACAAGGAAAAAAAAAAAAAAAATAGGACTACCATAAAATACAAGTTTTACTACTTTCTGTTGTGAAAAAAATTCACAATAAAGTAAAAATAATTTGGGCTACTAACCACTGTCTTCAAAACCATCCACTGTGTTAGAGGAGTTGGAGGCAGCATAATTTTGCTGGTTTTTTTTAGAAAGTTTTGGAGGGTCTTCTGTGAACAGATCACCAAATTTTCCAACACATGCAAGTTTGGGGAAACATCTGTTTTTATAACTTCATTTGCTGTAGCAAAGACTGTCTTTAAACTGTCCATGTAACTTTAATGTATGGATTAATGTGTGGATTTAATACGTGGAATTTCCTTGATTCAGTTTAATTCTCCTTTCCCATTCTAGATGACACTAAGAGTGTTGAGTTGTTTTTAGCAAAGGTGAATTCTTTCTATTTATCTGCAACATACATTTTTTTTTACTTCTTAACAGCATAGCAAACTGGCAATTTCCTTTCTTAAAGGCCTTTTCAAACCTAAACAATTCTATGACTCTTCTGCTATTAGAAATTTTTGGGTAGCAGTTTTTTTAATTCAGCTGATTGCTCTTTAGGAATAATGACCCTGTAGCTGAGGCCCATTAGATTTGTAACTAGAACAGCAGAGTGTGTGTGTGTTAGAGGAGAAATATTTTTGCTTTGGAAGAAATACCTACTGCTGCAGAGAAGAGTGTGAGGAAGTAGGGAGACAAGTGTGAGGAAGTAGGGAGACAGACAATAGGCATACAGATGTGCCAGCAGGAAAGCTGGTTATTGTTCAAGAGTCACCTCCTGCAAGCTCAGGAGCGATGCATCCTGACAAAGAGGACATCGGGCCAAAGTGCCAGGAGGCCTCCATGGATGAACAAGGAGCTCCTAGACAATCTCAAAGAGGAGAAGAAAGCTTACAGAGAGTGCCAGCAAAGACAGGTAGCCTGGTAGGAATATAGACAAATTGTCCAAGCTGCCAGGGATCAGGTTAGGACAGCTAAAGCCCAGATAGAGCTAAGTCTGGCCAGGGATGTCAAGGGCAACAAGAAAAGCTTCCACAGGTATGTCAGTGATAGAAGGAAGACTATGGAAAATGTGAGCACACTCAGGAAGGAAACAGAAGACCTGGTCACCCAGGGCATGGAGAAGGCTGAGGTACTCGATAACTTTTTTGCCTCAGTCTTCACTGGCAAGTGTTCTAGCCATGCTGCCCGGGTCACAGAAAGCCTTCTAGTCCTTAAAGGGGGCCTACAAGAAAGCTGGGGATGGACTTTTTACAAGGGCGTGTAGCGAAAGGATGCGGGGTAATGGCTTCAAACTGGAAGAGGTAGATCTTCACTCAGGGCGGTGAGACCCTGGCCCAGGTTGCCCAGAGAAGCTGTGGCTGCCCCATCCCTGGAGGGGTTCAAGGCCAGGCTGGATGGGGCTTTGAGAAACCTGGTCTGGTGGGAGGTGTCCCTGCCCAGGGCAGGGGTGTGGGACTAGATGGGCTTTAAGGTCCCTTCCAACCCAAACTGTTCCATGATAATAGCACAAAGAACACTTTGTAAACTATACTGGAGACTTTAAACAAGAAGATAAGGTTAATGTGACATGTTCTCTGCTTTATTACCTCTTACTGAGCCTTTATTTAAAAAGAGAAGAGAAATGCTCATGTAATTTCTAGGAGTAATTATTAAGGCAAAGAATGCTTATTAGTGAGTTGGATGAAAATACTGCATCTGATGATTTGGGGTTTTTTTCTTCCCAAGAAAAAAGTTATATCAAGAAAATATAGGGCTACAGTTGAGACTAAACTTTTTGCATGTGGGTGTATATATATTTATTATGATAATAATAATAATATACAAAAGAATATAACTTCTTAAAGTGAACTGCTTACTCATTTTACATAGCTTATTTGGGACTTTAACACTGCTGCATCATGATACTGCTACAGGGCAAGCGTTCATCACTGTATCTGTGCATTTATCTGTTCAGAGCACATTAATCCTACATGTTTTCCCAAACTATAATATGTGACCCTCTTCATTACTGATTATATATGCCTTCTTGTTGAATTCATCTTCATGGGTGGAGATGATGAGTCATTTTTACTGAGAAGAAATTTCACTTTTTCTGAGTTCTGATGGATGTTGATTGAGCAACTGCTCTTTTGCAGGTGAAGTGGATGATGTACTGGATTGTGTTTGCCTTTTTCACCACTGCAGAAACACTCACAGACATTGTTCTTTCTTGGTGAGTTCCTTGGTGGCATGTTTTTGGGGCTTTTTTGGGTTGTTTTTTTTTTTTTTTATAAGAGTAATAGAGAGTTAGTGTTAAGATGCCAGGAATAAACTGTCTCTGCTTTAGGGGTTTTCAGTCCCTGTGAAGAGTCTGCAGATTTTTAGATATTGTGTGTAGTGGCTGCTGTCTTAGCTGTTCCATCTCCTATACTTGCGAACAGTTATGTATCTGTAAGGGGATCTTCATTCATTCATAACATGAAATATTTTTGAGAAGCTGTAATGTGAACTGATAAAAGTTAAAAAAGTTTGAGAAATGGTTCAAAAAAAAAAAAAAGATGGTAGAAGGAACAGACCTGTCCGGGAAGCAGCTTCTTCATCCTTTCAGTGCTGTGTGTCATGCTTGGCAATATGGAGGCCTCCAAAAATGACAAGTCATCATTACATGTCTTCAACTGAACCTTTGGGACAGACTGTCTCCAGTTTCTTCATAGTGTTTGAGGTTTGCATACATCTCTGAAAGAATACCAGTCAAGAGTTGCATGTTTTAAAGAAATATGAAATGGCTACACAGCCTTACAGAAGTGCTTGGCAGCTTTGCGTAAACTTTGAAAAGCAGATAAAGATCTAAAAAGTACTGGTAAGTAAGTTTGTGTACCTAAAATGGACTGCTGAAAACAGAAATCTCTTACTACTAATAGAGACAGTAGAAAGTTTGCATTCGCTTGTTTTGGTCTTGGCTACTGTGTCGTCCCAGAGATTTTATTGGGTAAGGGTTAGCGATGAAAGGCTTTCATGCTGCATGCTCTTTTTCATTTACACTGACCCTCCTTTTGTGCCTCACTGGAGGAGTACCTACTGGAAGTTTCAGAAACTGGGCCATCAGCCTTAGCAGGAACTTGAGATTTATTGAGATACGTAGTTGAAAACTTTGGATAATGAGAAGGAAACTAATGTAATATTAACATCCAGTGGATACTGTCTGAAAAAAACATCAGAATGATGAGAGTAGCTATCAGATTGTAATTTGGTGTGTTTGCAGGGCTGAGAGATGCCCTGTTTATGGAGTTTTCATGGCTATGGATGAAAGACTAAATGAGACTCAAAGAAGGTATGTCCTAGGATTACAAAGAGGGTTTTGCTATTCTCACCTGATATATTGATTCTTTTGTTTCTGAGCCGTTGTCTTGCCTTTGCTCTTTCTGCCTATGCTGCTCTCTACCAGTTATCTCCATCTGTCTCTGTGCAGATCTTGATTCCAGTTCTCCATCTTTCTCTCTCTCTCTCCCTCTTTTTTTTTTTTTTCTTCCATCTTTCTCTCAGGTTTCCCTTTTATTTCGAGCTGAAAATTGCATTTGTGATTTGGCTGCTCTCCCCTTACACCAAGGGCTCCAGTGTTCTCTACAGGAAGTTTGTGCACCCAACGCTCTCCAATAAGGAGAAGGTACTTACTTGTTGTTAGAAGATACTGACCTTTCTAGGAGCTGAGTGGCTTCTGATATGGTTATGCCACAATAAAAGCTGAAATGCATGAATCATGCTTGTGCTGACATTTGTGGATGTAGAATGATTCTGTCTCTGACAACAATGCCATGCTGCAGCTCACTGACAATTGTAATGTAGCCCATAGTTTGCCTAGTGCTTAAAGAGGATGTTTGGCTAACCTAGTGTCATGAGCCCTTGCAATCACTGTCAGTAGTTAATCTCTTTGAGTCATGATAGGAGCAGCATGTTCTGTGGCCGTGCTGTTATTTTCACATTGTCAGCGTAAGCAACTGCTTTGTTTCAGTTGTCACAATTTGGAGATAGCATACTTTAAGTAAAAGTTGCGTTTGCAAGCTTTCTGTAAGCAGCAGAGAAGCTGCAGTTACGTGGTCAGTGACAGCTGATGCTGGTAGCCTGGAAAAAGGCATCCAGATGAGCTTTAGCTTTTTAAGGGTAATGGTGGGGAGACTTTGGTCATGTTTGTAACGAGGAACTAAATGCCATGTTCCATATTGCCTTCCTAGGAAATTGATGAATACATTACTCAGGCTCGTGACAAGAGCTATGAAACCATGATGCGAGTTGGCAAGAGAGGGTTAAACCTTGCTGCCAATGCAGCAGTTACCGCAGCTGCAAAGGTAATGCAACACCTTCTGTAACATTCAGAAATTACCCAGCGTTTTAGTTTTGTGTGCCAGCAATTAGTACTATGGGTCTGTTGGAGATGCTGGTGCTTGTTGGTACCAATCCACTTTTCCTTTCCTCCAGTTTGCCTTGCAATTTATCCCATCCTTTGACTTATGAAAAGTGGAGGGAGAGTGGAATGGATTTTGCTTTAACCTCTTCCCTGTTAGTCTTGGGAGTATACTTTTCGTTTTTCTTCTCTGTTTTTTTCTGGAGTACCCTATGTTCTGGGTTGAGAGATACAGGACTATCTTTTCTTCTAATGCTGGGGAAAATTGCACTTTTAGAAGACTCTAGTGTCTGAATTTGTGAAAATATTTACTTTATAGCCAGCCAGGCTCTGTGGGATTTAAGGTTAGTGTTTTCGAGCCTCGCCAGGTGCAGGGACAACGAGGAGCAAGGCCTGGCCATTTGACCCAGTCTGGCCAACAGGATTATTTCATACCATGAACATCACATTCAATATAAATTGGAAAAGTTTACTGCATAGCTCTCTCTCCCTTGATGGTGGCGGGTCCAGACAACTCCTTGCCCCGGTGCCGGAGCCCTGAGACCTTCCCTTCCTCCTGAAGCCATTGCGCTCGCAGTGTCTGACATTTGCTGTCCACTGCTGGGAGTGCACAGCTTTCTACTGATATAATTGGCAGAGTATAATTCTTGTATATCTTGTATCAGTATAGGGATTAATACTGGTTCTTTAGTATTATTGTTAATTATTTAGTCTTAGTCTGTGAAGTCTATTTATGTTTCGACCCTTGTGTTTCTTTGTGTTCTCTGATTCCCCTTTCCGGGTGGGGAGGGGTCATCGGGTGATAGAATAATTGTCTAAATAGCAGTAGATTGTTATGGGTTTTCTCAAACCATAACAACCCTAGTAGGGAATAGAGCCATTTTCTCTTCTTCTGACTGATCCCGTATGCGATGATCTTGGTGAAGTGCCCTTGACCCTAATTATTATGTCCTCTTAGGGCCAGGGAGTTTTGTCTGAGAAGCTGCGAAGTTTCAGCATGCAGGATCTCACTCTGATTCGGGATGAAGATACTGTGCATATGCGAAGCCATGAGCCGCAACTGCACCCCTCTGGTGGGAGTCTTCTTGAAACCATTGAGGATTCAGGTAAAGAACACCGCGGCTGGGCCATTGCATGAGGCCTCCTGTGGTGAGCCAAGAGGGAGGAGCAGGGGTTCCCTAAACTTTCCATGTGTTTGGTCTCAGGACTACATGATTCTAAATTATCTAGGAGAAGTTGCATTGCCTTGCCTGGTCCCTTCCCACGTATTAACACATCTCTGTTAAATCTGTTAAACAGATTAACACATCTCCACTAAATTTTGGATTATCCTTCTTAAGGATTGTTGACATCTCTCTTTCATGTTGTTGTTCAGGATGGGCCATTTTAGACTTTATGTGATTTTCAAAAGCATTTGCTAAAACTTTCTCTCTTACTCCTTAGCTTCATGTTACTCCTCAGGAGAGGAGAGCAGTGTGGCACAGAGGTCTAATGGAACCCCATCGGAAACTAGAATAGACCCATCAGATGAAGATGCAGGAGACAAACTTCCTAAACGTACACAGAGTCTCAAAACTCCTAAAAAGATGATGAAAACTGAGGTGAGCTGGTGTGTAAATTATTTCTAGCACCCACACTGATTTGTGAGTTTTGTTGGAAGGCTCTGGCTTCATAGCCTCAGTGCATTTAAAAGGTGTTTATATAAACTTTGTTGGACTAAGTCTTTGCTGATTGAGTCCTATGTCAGAGGACTTGCTGTCTACTTGCTATGCTGGTCACTAGCTTTTATATTTTTATCATGCCTGAAAGCCTCTGTCATAAGCCAGGACCCAGCTTTGCTTTCATTCAGGGTGGGTTGGGTTGAAGGGTGGGGCATTAGGTATTTTTTGACATGTTTTGTTGATTGCATCCTCTCTCCTGTCTGTTACAGTCTGAATATATAATACTACTGTGACCTTTATACCTGGGACAGTGACTTTCTCCTCATCTAAAATGCAGTGGTTCTGTACCCTCTTAGGCCTCCCTGGACTTCTGCATATTAGAAATGGGGAAAATGCAATTTCCCCCTCCACACCATTCCCCATTCCCCCCGCTCCCTCCCACCTCAGAGTTTTGGGCAATTAGTCGTTGTTGAGCTATCCCCTCCATATGACCATGTGACGATCCAAGATATTTACAGCCATTCAGAGGGGACATGAGTTGCCTGTGTTGTTATTATTAAAACAAACCATACACGAAAATAAATGCAACTGTGTTCAAGAACCATTTTAGCTTAACAGTCTTGTCTTTTCAGCTCTTTTGTAGAATATGCTTTTTGAGGTGCTGCTTTCCAGATTTTGACTCTTACTCAAACATTTGTTGTGGTTTGATTTATACATGATAAAAGTCTTCTCCCTTTTTGTGAAGCTGGGGTTCCATTTGCTTGATTCAACTCTGACTCCTAATTTTATTTTTATTTTAGATAAAGAGTGCTATATGACTGGCTTACATTGTTGAGCTTTTCAGGCTAAATATTAAATATTTTGGAGGAAAGTAATTGCCTAAAGCATCATTTTAAATCTTACTGTTAACCTTGATTTTACAGTGTACAGGACACCTTTGTGTGTGAGTAAGTACTCTTTGTAACAGAATCACAGAGCAGTTGAGGTTGGGGGGGACCTCTGGAGATCACCTGGTCCAACCCTGCTGATCAAGCAAGGCCGCCTAGAGCTGGGTTCCCAAGACCAGGCCAGATGGCTTTTGAATATCTCTGAGGATGGACATGTGTCTGAAGATGCATTTTAAAGCAGCATGGATCTTTTTGAAGTTCCCAAGGCTTACTTCTGTTGACCCCTTTGCTTTCTTCTCTAGCATATTAGACAGGAGCAAAGAAACAAGAGGAACAAAATTTGATCCCAGACTTCTTAGTGGGGAATTTTTAAAGTGAAATTGTGACTAGACAGTGATGAATGTTGATTGTGAATACAGAAATTCTGATAAAGCCCTTTGCAGGCATATTAGTGTTTATGCTCAGTCTGCTTAGGTCTTTGGTTCGGGTGTAAGAATTGTAGGAGGGCTTTGACTGAGATCTCCAAAGTTGCCTGGAAGGGCTGAACACATTGTGGATCATAAATGCACTCTTCTTGCCAATATCTAGAATGAAAGACACTGGGTAAAGTGTGCAAACTAGTTCAAAATGTTTCTGCATCTTCCAGAGAACAGGATTTGGAATGGCAATCAAGAAGCAGAAAAGTTACCTCAGTGAAGTGTTATGTAAATGTTACCATTTAGAAATATTGCTATGTCCAGTCTTTTGTTGAGACAGCTGACTTCAATTTTATTATCATGGTTGTCCTGTTTTAGAATGTCTTCCTCTCCTGGTTGCCATTTGGTGGATATGCTCAGAGTAATTTGTTTACTAGCCAAAACCAAATTGAATGATTAAACACCATTTTTAAAAAAAGGGATGACGTGAAGGGTCCTTTTGTTGTAGTTGCTTTGTCCTGTTTTCACTCTGCATTCTTACCTATTTCTGTTAGACATTTAGGTGTTAAACCACCCTAAGATGCCTCTTTTTTTATTTCTCCTCAGCTTCCAGTGAGAAGTGTGAAGGCCCGCCCTAAGAAGAAAGCTGCAGGCTCTCTTGCTTCTGGCGAGTCATCCTAAGGAGACCTCCCCCTCCCCAGCAACTGTCTCTGTCCCGGGATTTGCCTGTCGCTTTTGAGGGGAAACTCCCTGAAGGAAGGGAGCTGAGATTCATGTACATAACAGATACTGCTTTGTAGAGCTCATTCCAAGGCAAGGGGGAGGCTGGGATTCAGAAAGTGGAGTAGAGGATGCACCTCCTCAGGAATTTTCTCCTTTTCGTCTCTGTTGGAGGGAATGCTGATATGTCTGTACATAGCCTGTTGCTTTGGAATTCCCACTCTATAACCCAAGTTGAAGAGAATCTTTGCTGGAAGAACTGACTAGGGTTAGAGACATCCATTGCACAGAAGCTGGAAAAACATTAGACACTGGAGTTCCACAGGGGTGGGTGGCTCCCTAAAATGTCTTATCTTGCTCTGGGTATTCTTCTGCAGCTGTGAGTTGTTCAGAAGTGCCCACCATGATTCATCCTCCTTAAGGAAGGACCGTACCTGTCACGTCTATCCCTTTTGAGAAGGTGATTGAAATGATATAAGCTGACTGCATTTGAACGTAAAAAACTAGCTCATGGGAGGAGTATACTAATTCCCGTTACTAGTACTGGAAGATGAAGAGATTGGTTTTTATTTTATTTTTTTCAGGAAGGTGAAGGGAGGTAATTGAAAAACTGAGTACTGAAGAAAATGTGCTGTTATATGCACAGGTGATGAAGTAGCTGCAGGCATTTTTAAGAGGTAACTATTGAGAAAGAAAGTTGGGCATCCATAAGATTTTTCGGCACTTCTCGAAGCTGCTTGAATTTTTTTTCAGGTTCTGCTATTCACTTTGATTCCTGTGAGAGCATCAGAGTGATGCGAGTCCCATGCAGTGGGAATAGCTGGCAGGGAGACTGTTGCTTTGCCATTTAGCGGTTGAACTCCATGTCATCCTGATGCTTGTTACTACAGACAAATTCTTTCATTTTAGCAGATGACTGGGGAAAATCTGGCTCAATATAGTCTGTAGGAATACTTGAGAATTTCAGAAGCCCTTGTCTCTCAGCTTTAGGAGATCCAATCCTCAGGGCATGAGAACTGATAAATAGCTGATTTGGAATTTCACTAATTCCAAGATTCCATTTATGGGGAATAAAAAGCAGAGAGTGAGGCACAATACTGTGATTAATGAGTCCTCTTGCTTTATCCTGCTGCAGCCCTTGCACAAATTTTCTGTCTGACCATGTGCCATGTTTATCAGTGTCCTGAAACTTGAGCAATATGTAACACTTGGGACAGAACTACATTTGCATCATGCCAAGCCATACTGGATTCTAATCTGTTGAACATTGTTAATGGGAGGTCCCCTATACACTTGACAACAGAGTCAATGGGAATTTATGAGATGAGTAGGGTGCCTGTCCCTGTAATGGGGGGAGCACTTATAGATCACCAACTAGTTATCAAAGGAACCTGGCTCCTCCATCCCTGCTGGAGACCATTCTTAGCTCTAGATGCAGGCATTTGTGTTTGACCACGTCTTTTGCTGTCACATTTCTGAAATTACAGTGGATTCTTCACAGAGCCAAATATTTTGCTGTTGACAATGTATAGAAGCACTTCTGCAAGTGACACCTCACAAGTATTTCTGTCCTAAAGAACAGCCCTTCAAAAGTTTGCAAAGTTGAAGTTTAGGACTGAACTTTTTCTTATTTCCCGCTGTCTTGGTGGCAAATTGTTATGAATTGACTAGTTATTTTAGGAAACCAATTAAGTTGGTTTTACTTCTGCTTGTAGCTTTAAAATTGAAATCTTGACAGACCATATCAGAAACTCACATCTTGCCAGAAATACTTACCCTAAATTATTGACAAGGCCTTATCCAGGAGCCTGCAGAAAATCCTTGATTTGGCTTTGAGTTTCACAGAAAAAAACCCCAGTCTTTTGTTCTTTTTAGTTTGTCAGCAAATATTGTATAGGTGTCTCACTAGTACATGCAAAGACATGTCGTGAAGCAAGGATTCTTTCTATGTCCAAAGGAAATTCTTTCCATGGGGGATAAAAATCTGTACTGGTTATGTGGAAGGCTCAGTTGTGAGGAATTGCTGTCCTAGATTTTACTGTACTGAACAAGACAGAACCATTATTCTCTATATGGCAGGTATTTCTATGACCACATTTCTGGATTTTTTTTTTTTTTGTAACAAAAAATTTCCATAGCAAATTATTTATGTAAGCCATGTGGGGGACTTGGTTTGGAAGCAAAGGATTGATTAGTCTCCCGTTATGCTCATTGTCATGCCCTTTCCTTGTACATGCATTGTGATAGTCTTGAATTACTCAGTTTTTATGCAATGACTTTCCAGAATGTTTTCTAGAATCAGTTCATTTATAGTAACTCTTCCTGCTTTGAAGCAGACTCAGTTTGAAGAAGACTCAGTTTGGGCATTTGGATTCACCTTTGTCTTCCTGAGCTGGCTCCTGTGCCAAGTATCTTTTACTTAGCATTGATACTTGATGTCATTTGTCTGTGGGTAAGTACAGGTCAGTTTGACTTTTGTTGTACGGGGAATTAAGTGACTACTGGTTGTAAGAGTCTGTAGTAGAGTCAGGGACTATTACTGAGTGTATGATATGAAGCTGGTGATGTAAAGCAGAAGAACTTATCCAGAGCAAGAACGATGTCTTAGCATGGACACTATTTTCTTCTTCCATTACAAATGTAACTGCTAGATTGTGCTCTGCTTGATCAAAGCCTCTGCAGACCTGCAATCACCCACGTGACCTCTTAGTGAGTTTCTAGATGTAGTTCTGCATTGGATGGCATGGTCTTGCATAGAAATTCTCTTGTTAATGAGAACGCTGAATGTGCTGTTTTGATAAAATGCTTTTATCAGCTGTTGTTCAGTGTTTTCAGCAGGAAATGCTGAAATGTAGTTTCTCTTCAGTATCATCTGTGAACTTCATTGTGCAATTAAGCAAATGGTTAAATCTTCACCAAGCAGTAGAACCCATTGTGTTCAATGTTTATACCCCTTTCCTAATATGCTTGAGCACAGAGAGAAACACAGTGAGAGGAAATGATACTTGAAGTTGAAGGGCTAGGGGAGGTGGTGCATGTGTGTCATTTGTGTGCCTAAAATTATCCTAAAATACCTGTACCGTGAGATACAAAGTGAAGCCATGACTGCCTTTTGGAAAGAAATATTGTACCTCCATGCTTTATAGTACTGGGAATCACTATTCTGCTGTTGGAAAAGAAAACAGTGAAATGTGATTTCCCTTCTGAAAAATTTAATGATTTGCTGCATAAAAGAGAAAAATGTTTTCTTGCTTGGCAGTATCTTCCATGGTGGGTAAGAAATTGGAAAATATAGGGGAGACTACTGTCTGGTTTTAAACCCTACACTTCAACTAAACATCTTAATTTCTTACTGTTGTTTATCAAGTTCCTGATTCTCCAGCCTTATGTTTCTGAGTCTGGGGGACTGATTTCTTTTAGACTAGATAAACTTCCTTGGCATGTAGAGGGTATATTGGAGAGAGGGATGCTGGTGTTCTTAAAATTGCAAAGCTTGTTCTGGGGAAGCCACATCTTCCCCTATTTTAGTGAACTGAGTTCCATTCATTGTCCTTTTGCGGTGCTTTTATATACATCCTTCTCGGAACTGTGAGTCACTCAAATATATGGCCAAGCCATTTCTGCCTTGAAAAGCAAGATTTCTAGAGAAACCCAACTTTCCAGAAATTTTTATTCTTTACCATCTTAATCAGCAGGAAATATAGTGCCTTAGGAGGAAAGTGGGATAACTGTGGAATACTCTGCTGGTTCTCTGATCTGCACATAGCATTGTATCAAGGAGACACTGATGTCAGCTGTGAAGTGTCATTGTATGCTTAAGAGCAGCTGCTGAATTGAGCTGTTTTACTGTCTGTCTTCTGAACATGCACATAATGCTGGAAAGTGTGGCTTAGTGCCTAAGAGAGAAATCTAGGAAAAAAAATACTCTTCTTTCTGCTATAGATGCTGTATCGTCACATTACTCTGGTACTTAGTGGGAAGATGCTGAATCTCATCTCTCAGTGTAACTGTTCGGTACTGTAGCTTTTCTTCCTTTACCCACTAAGAGTTTGTAATGTGCCACCTGGCTGAAGCATCTTGTGGTGCTGCTTCCTGAGTTGTTCCGTAAAGTCAGATATGTGGAAAACCAGCAAAGTATTCTGAAGCTATGTGAGCTCATAGAGTCGTTGGAGCTGGAAGGCGCCTCTGAAGATCACCTGGTTCAGCCTCCCTGCTCAGGCAGGGCCAGCCTAGAGCTGGATGCCCAGGGGTTCCTGTGTGCTATTTGTGCTCTGGAGCCTACTGAATTTAGTGTTTAAGAGCTGGTATATGTAGAAATGAATATACTGTATGGTGATGTGCTTTAGTGTTACTAAGGGGAAAGGATTCCTGGTCACCTTTCATCTGGACTTTGGCACTACAAGACACTGTAAACATAGCTCAGTCTTCAGTTATTTCTAGGTATTGTTAAGAGACTTAGAGGCTTCGGGAGAGGTCTTGAAAGGTGTACAGAATAACTTGTGAGAACAATTGGTGTGAGCAGTAAATGAAGACAATAAAGCTGCACAGCAGCTAAGAGCCCATCTGGTGAGATAGAATGAGATTTGAAAATGGGCTGCGTACCGGACAGAGTTGCCCAGGAAATTCTACTGACTTTCTGATCCTCAAGCAATACTTAAATTCTGCGCTCTACAGGTTACAGCCTGATTTTTTCATGCAGCACTTCTTGTTCTGTGTCTTACCTTCCTAAGCTGGGCTTGAGCTATGTGCATTTTGATTCTTTAACCTTTCGTGACTTCAGAACAGTAAAGTTTAAATTTTACCTCAGCAGACAGCTGATCTGCAGGGAGGACCAGATGAGTATGAAGGACGTCACATTGCTTTGTAGTAGATGTGTTATCCTGGGAGGCATCAGCAGGGAGCTCTGGAGGATACATTAATCTGGGAAATTAACCCTGATCCCTTCCCGTCCCCCACCTTGGCCCCAACCCCGACAAAGCTGGTTTTGGATGAACGAAGTGCTGGACTTTGCTACCCTCATGTACACATCTGTAAATTCCCAAAATTTAATGTCAGAATTGCCAGTGTTCTGTTTCTGATGAGAACTGGAATCAAAATACTATGAAGTTAAAAGAAACAGTGGCAAACTGGCAGGTTTTTTCCACAATTTTGCAGATAAGTTTAGGTCTTTGCTGCTGCTTTGTCTAAAACCTTTCCATAAACCCCTTGCAAGCAAACCATTACTTCCTTGCTCTGTTTCTCGGCTCCTATTCTTTCATGACCTGATTGTGTTTCTTGTGTTTTTTCTAATTAAGCAAGAGACTACTTCCACTTTGCTGATTGTGGAGACATGAAAAATACTGTCTTTTAGAGCTGAAATTTAGCCTTTTTCCATTATTTAATCGTATGACCTAGAATCATACAGTGACTTGTATGACAAAGCCTAAGGCTGGATTCACAGGGGGAGCGTGAGCATTTATGGCCAATAGCATCGTTTGATGTATTCCCCTTTTCTTGCAGTTGGTTCTGGCTGAAATATGTCTCCTGCTGACCCTTTGAATAAGAGCATTCTGTCTGCATTTAGCCAAACAATGTTAGAAGTAACATTTGTGGAAAGGCTGCAAAAGTGAGTGAACCCTAAAGGAGCAAGAATTCAAGTCTTCTGTAACTGTCTGAGACGATCTAAAAGATCTGTGCTTTGCTGTATTAACTTATCAGAGATGGGGAAATCAGTCATGTTCTTTGCAGTGGGTCAGGGAGCAGGGTCAGGCTGGATGGCAAGCATAGAAAGTTTTTACATACAAGGGAACTAAGTTTTTATCATAAGTAATGCTTAGTAACTTGCCAAAAAGAAAGCAATTTGAAAATTGTTGGTGACTTTATAAAAATTATAAATTATCCTGATCGGCAAACATAGTGTTAAATATAAACCTCTTGTACTCATGCTGCTGTCTTTTTGGGAGAGCACTGAGTTGACGGACTCCTCACTTTTGACTCCTCTTTTAGATTATTTCTCAAATATTTTGAATGCCTCATGGAGATAAATGAAATTTTTATTTTGACATATGACCGTGAATTCATGTCTAAATTCAGGAACTCTGAGCTATGTGTGAGACAGTGTTGGTCGAATGAAAGCCCAATAGGAAAATGGAGAAGCTGAGACAGATCTGGCCAGGTGAAGATGACTGGAGGACCTTCCTTGAAGTGCAGAAATTGGAGACTATGCAGTAATGCTCGGTTTTGATTCAGTGTTTTCGTGACAGAGTTCCTGTTGGCAATGTGTTGATCTAAAAGCAGTAAGGCGCAGGAAGGGTTGTGAATTGCTTTTTGTCCACTAGAGGGTATAAGCATAACATACAGTCACTGAAAATGAGCAGAGACCTGTCTGATAACCATTGAATTATGGACTGGTTGAATGGCAGTATTTGCTATGTATGAGAGTCCTGCTTAGAAAGTGGGGGGACACAAACTGGGGCTCTAATGGAGAAGTATTAAGTGATACTGCGGTTAACCCCTGACTAAAAAGGCTATGTAAGCTTGCTGGGCTTTCTAATTGAGCCACTTTCCAATGAGGCTTGCTGAGACGATAGTGTTAAGAGAATAACTGTCCTCAAATCTTTTTGTTTTCCATTCAAATCACTTTCTAGCTGCAGGAAGGAGCAATGGCAGTGTTTGTGATTTATTACTGCCCGCCTTTGCAATTAACCACTTTCTGTGTGTTTATGTAGTTCAATAGTGTTGCCCTAATTTATACTATGGATTTTGTAGTATTTCCTGGTAAGAATGAGTAGTTTATTTCTACTGGATCTGTATTCTATGAAAATAGAAGCAATTCTAATCTAAAAATACAGATGTATCTAATGGTTACTATGGTAGTTTGTGCCCATGGCAACAGAGAGTTACCATTCTGAAGAACAGACAGGTTGTTTCCTTTTTTGTCCTGTTTTTTGGGGGTTGGTTGTGTTTTTTTTGTCAACAACCTAATTAACAGTGCAAGCATTTCAGGAAAAAAACACCAACTTTTATTTCTTATCCATACAAGATTATATGGGTACAAGGGATTATGAAATTGTCTCATGGAAGACTTTTATAGAAAAGCTGATGAAGTACAGGCTGGATGAGCAGCCACTGAGGTGGGTAAAAATCTGGCTGCACGGCCAGGCCCAGAGCATGGTGATTAGTCCTAGGAAGGCTAATTGGAGGCCAGCAGCTGGCAGCATTTCCCCGGGCTCAGTGTGGGATCTGGCACTGATCAACATCTTCATTAATGATTGGATGAAGGGACAGAGCATACCCTCAGCAGTTTGCTGGTAGCAGAGCTGGGAGGAGCGGCTGATGTGCCAGAAGGTTGTGCAGGAAGCAGCAAGAGGTTTATCAAGTGTCTGATCTTATATCTCAAAATATATGGAAATCCTAATAGGAACATAATGAGACAGTCTGAGATTCTTTCTGCTGTTGAGAGAGAGGTCTTTTATCTGCAGCATCATGGATGGAGACTTACAGACTGAAGAAAGGTCCAGGAGGTTACTGTAGGAAAGAGAAACAGAATTTAGAATAGGGCTGGGGATTCTTCATTGTCAGACTTTGGAAAAAAACAAAACCAAACCAACAGAAAATCGGCGGTATGTTTCTGTTCTATTTGTCCATCATATGATCAGAGTTAAATAAATAATGTGCTTTCAGGAAGGTGCTAAATTTCAGCTACAGTTTGGGGATTGCCCTAATGTGGTTGATTAGTAATGATTTAAAGAATTATATTTATAAGAAATTAAGATATTATTAAGGGAGATAGGAATGGGGTCTCATGAATAAGCCTCGTATTTAAAGAATGGCTGTCTCTGCCAGCATAGAGCTTATGTAAAGGCTCTCTACTAGCAACACTCAGTGTCAGTTTTGTAAGGAAACATGCTGAATATAAGTTTAGCCAAAGCCAAATCACAGAATTTTCCAAGCTTTCTCTTTTTCCTAGGCCCTCTTGGGGAATCTAGCAACTGAATGGAAATTACAGCATTGCTGCTATCACTTGCTAATTTGGGGCAATTAATATCTTTAATTAAATAGAATCTAAACTGCATTTAAAAGCCAATTTTTGTAAAAGCCAGGTGTTGTGACCATTTTGTATTTGCCATAGGAATACAGTAACTGAGCAGTGGAGCCACAGTGGTGCTCAATATTACCTCAGAAGAGGGAAAATGGAGAAAAGAACAGCCCAAACTGAATGGGTTCAGGTAGCCCAGTCTCCTGTCTGTGATACTGCTCAGTCTATTTGATGACCAACGGGCAGCCTGGAATTAACACAGACATTGGAAAAGCCTTTTCCTGACACTGTCGCCTTTTTACTCATGCTCTGAAGCATGGTGGTGTTAAATGAGTGGGTTACTGGAGTTTTTTTTGCGTGGAGGGAGTTGTTTGAATTCTTTAATTATATTTTTAGTGAAGTCATTAAAAGTCTGGTCACTTGCTGCAGACTTAAATACAGAAATCCTACAAATCCTAGATTTCTCTATTTAAGCATCCTAGTCTTGTGTTGTGCTTGCTTTGTTAGATTAGACTCTTTCTAGGTATATTTTTCCATTCTGTTTTGTGAAGACCATTTAAAAAAAACGGTGTTATTTCTTCTATATCTTGCTCTTTTGCTCTCACGTGTTTTCCCCTATTTGAAAGTACCAGTTGTTTTTCTTCCATTTCTCGCCAGAGTATGATACAAATCGGTGCAGATGTGCTTTCATTCCACAGGGTGGCAGCTAATCCTTATTTCCTTTCTCAGTTATTTTGACATTTCTGCTAGAAGGAGCTTTTCTGGCCAAGTTCCCCTCTGAGGCATAAGGGTCATGAACCTGTAAATACAACCTTTCTGTTGGGAGTTAAAGAGTATTTGGAAAAGCTTATTATATTGTGGCTGTTGAGGCTGTATCAACTTGCTGAAGATTGTAGTAGCTGACAAGGCAAAAAAAAAAAAGCATCATCCAAGGACTAAAATTTGAATATTATGTATTGCTACTGTTTTATGTGGTTCTCTCTTGTAAGTGGTGCTCCAAGCATAACTGAACACAAGTAAATGGTGGCACCTCTAGACAAAAGTTGCTTTGATAGAGGCTTACTTATTGATGTGGGTAGGGGAGAGGTTCTAGAAGTTATTTATTCACTTTTCACTTCCAGCTTATTTTGACAGATAAATGTCTCAGATAATTTGAATTGAAATCTCTGTGTGTCATTACAATAGGTTTATAGGTTTATGAGTTCCGGGTATGGCTTTTTGTTTTTTGCTATTGATTTTACATAGTTTCCTCCCATCCCATGTCCCAATTTCTTATTATTGATGCCTGTGAATATTTTTCTTTACAAGGCTGCTGTTTTGTTATCTTCTCAAACTGTACCCCTGAATTGTTTTAACTTTTCTCCATGTCTTTCTTATGTATTTAGTCTTCTACCTTTTGCTCCTCTCCGTTGTTGAATAAAGATATGAAAATTAATACAGAGTCCTGCTACTTCTGCTGTGTAAAAATAAGGCAAGTTTGGAGAATCTGTTGTGTTCTGGCTTTGTTTCCTCACTTAGATGTTGCCCCTTGATTAGGTTGTGTCCACTTCCCAGATGTTAAGTGAGGACTTGGATTCATATCACAAGTGTATTTGTTCAGTGGCCTTTTCGCTCCTGCAGATGCAGATCACTATAGAATCAAGTACAATTATTGTCACGCATCTAGGAGACGAGACCTACCTAAATTGCAATTGCAGGTAATCTCCAGAGAGGACAGAGGGTGAAAAGAATTTATATGTGCAAAGTTAGAGAATGGTGAGTATCTGTTTCTGGGTGCATGTGCAGAAGCATGGATGTTTAGCCAATACTACTTAACTACTATACCAAGGCATGAAATACTTGTTTGGGGAGGAAATAATTGCTGTCTTGCAGGGCAGATAGCAAGAACTCAGCTTACTTAACTGGAAAGCTTGTGGTGTGGAGAACAGACACAGAGGCCGTGTTAAATTACAAGAAAAAAATGGGCTGTGAGAAGAATTCTCTGTGGTTATCAACAGCTGGTCCTCCACAGGCCCTGCTACTGAGTAAAGTGGGTAGTTGTAGTGACGGACATAAGCTAGAAATTCAGCTAGCAGGGTTCTACTGGCATCTCTTTCTACTTGGTGTTTTGGATAATGCTAGGTCTCAATGGATGGACTGTGTTCTTCAGCTGGAACTTAGTAACAGGAGTAATGGACTGAGTCACTGGTTTTGATTGAGTTGAAATCTTTTCTGAGTTTGAAATTCTAGCTTTTTTTTTTCTTTCTTTCTTTTTTTCCCAAGTGTAGTTTTCCTTTGGGAGTCTCGTGTAGGTGGAGCCTTTCTCTTTCTCCCCCCCTTGCTGTCAGTTTTTCTTGCCAATGCTATGAATGTCAAACCTGCCAGCCTTCCACCTCCATGGATGTCCTTATGAAGGAGGCAGATTTGCTGCTGCTTCTCTTTCAGCCAGCTCAGAGCTGACATTCCCAGCCCCAGCAGTGAGAAGCTGCAGTGTTTATGTAGTAAATAGAAAATGTTTGTCTGTATTTCTGGGCATATGCAAAAAATAATATGTGGCTATTTTGCTCTCTGTATATATCTGGGGACGTTTCATATTTCCACTTTTCCCAGAGGACAAATGTACGTTCATGTGTTCGTTAGACACTCAAATATGGTACAACAGTACTTGACCTCTGCAGAATGATTACAGGAGCAGTTAATGAGTTGTGTGGGTTTGCACTTTGAGTTTGCTTGTTTGTTAGAAAACTGCCAACTCTTGAATTTCAGATTCTTCTCCTTCTGGGCTAGCAGGCTCAAGTGTAAAGTACCATTGGATTTGTGAGTTGTAGATTAGAGATGATTGGGAAGCAGCTTAGTCTGCCATCACAGCAATGGAGATAATCCTTTTGGATCCCAGAGATTATTATCCGGTCAGGAGCATTCATCGTGGTTTATGGTGTTGACTCCCTAGAGCTGTCATTATTTAACAATGTGGATAACCATGAGGCTTTGGAACTGTTCTGCACGTTCAGAAGGAGATCTGTGCAGTTCTCATCAGCTCATCAGTTCCCATGGAATCAGACTTCAATTCCCTGTCCTGAGCTGCGTGCTTTTTTCCTACCAGTTGGAGGGGGGATGATTTGTGTTCTTCCTAGTATATAGAAACTGTTAGAATTGTTTCTAAATCGTAAATGTCATTTGACTACCTAAGACAGGGATCAAAATGAAAACAAGGATACAAAGCAATGAAGTGTTTTGAGTATGCTGTATTTGTGCTTTGATTTGACATGTGATACCGGGCCCCGTGTTCTTTCTAATGGACCATGCTACGGGTGACAATCAGTGAAACACTAAGTTTCATTTTAGAGCCCCTTAGTCTGCTGGCTGTAAGTGGTACTATTGGGAGCATAATGGTATGTCCATGGTTTTCTGTGTTTAGCCTTAAAAATGTGTTAATTGTTATATTTCATATAGTTGTTCCCAGCCATTTGGCTGCTTTTTGTCTAATCTGCTTTGTTTTACTTGTGTGTACTTTATGAAAAGCTTTTCTTGGATGGCGTTAAGTGGATGAAGACACTTCTGAAATAGATACATGTAAAGAAAATGATCAGAGATTCAATGAGAGAAATTAAGAATTATTTCAGGGAATGTCTGTTTAAACCCTCCAAACAGCTTTTGCACATGTTTGTATATTAGTGAATTACAGGTGAAGGAAGCCAAAACTTCCAATTCTTTAGCACCAAAGAAATATTGTCACTCTAAACTCCAAGAAAGCTGGAACAGTGAAATCTGTGCTAAATATGGACAAATAAACACAGCTTTTTGGTTAAAAAATTATCCTCTTAATAAGAGTAAGTTCTTCAGCACACGAGCTAAATAACTGTTTTTATACATATCAAAGCAGTTTTTGTGGTAGGCAGTGCAGGAGCAATGTGGTTCCAGTAGGAATGCAAACTTGCTCTTGCTATGGAGCTTTTGCCATCATCATAGTAAAAAACACTGCAAATGCTGCCGTACTCAGTTTGCAGAAAAAGCAGTCGTAACCTTAACTGATTTTTACAGAATTCATTAGTTATATATTGTAGCAGTGAAATAGGAGAAACAGTCCCACTAAAGTAATTTAGATTCTTTTCAGAAAGTGAACTAGCACACGTGCCAGGATTTATGGTAAATTTCCATGCAACAAGAAAGCAAAAGCCAGAAGCAGGGAAAGACCCTGTGGATCAGCACGTGTGTACAGCAAAGGCAGGGACTGAGAGGGACATACATCTGTTGGATAAAGTTACTATACACAGATGTACACATCCGTGGTAGAAGTAAACACCCACCCCGAAGAAGTAACTTGAAGGAAGATGTTAAACACAATTAGAACTATGAAGTCTGGAAAATCCTGGTCTCTTTAGAACTACCCAAAATAGAAGAAGAAAGGGGCTACAAAGATGGTGAGGGGCCTGGAGCATCTCTCTTACGAGGAGAGGCTGAGGGACTTGGGTCTTTTTAGTCTGGAGAAGAGAACACTGAGGGGGGGATATGATCAAGGCCTATAAATACTTAAAGGGTGGGTGTCAGCAGGATGGGGCCAGTCTTTTTTCAGTAGTGCCCGTGGCGGGACAAGAGGTAATGGGCATAAACTTGAACATAAGAAGTTCCATCTAATCATGAGGAGGAACTTCTTTGCTGTGAGGGTGGCAGAGCCCTGGAAGAGGCTGCCCAGAGAGGTGCTGGAGTCTCCTTCTCTGGAGACATTCCAAACCCGCCTGGACACGTTCCTGTGCAACCTGCTCTGGGTGGACCTGCTGTGGCCGGGGGAGTTGGACTAGATGATCTCCAGAGGTCCCATCCAACCCCATATGATTCTGTGATTCTGTGAATTGAATAAATTGTTTAGTTGAAGTTATTAATTTAATCCTAATTTGACACTGTCATTCCTGCAGTGCATACATCTCAACCATGCATCTCAGATGGATTTGTGGACTTAGAAGATGGTTTTTACTAAACTTTACTTACCTAAACCTTTAAATGTCTTCTTAGAAAATACACTCTGATTTGAATTTTGTGCATTTTGCCTGAATGCTTTTATGTGCAGAAGTGTTTGGTAATGAACATAGACTCCTTAAAAGTAGAACGATCTTCTTCCCACTTGTGATTTTATGCAAATGAAAATAGCAAACAGTCATCTTTTCTTGCTGCCATAATATATATCAAATATTGATCCAATGATTTCTTACTGCTCAGCGTACCTTGTTTTCTAAATTTCTTCCCAGGCAATTAATGACATTATTTCCTCTTGGAAGATAGTCCTTTCAAGTTGCTTTTTTCTTTGCTTTCCCCTTTTTTTTAAAAAAAAAATAATTTATTGCCATGATTTTTATTTTACCTGGTGATGTCATCCTGTACCTCTGAAATCAGAAGAAGTTTAGCTTTTAGATATTGTAGATTCCTTTGGTTTTCACATCTACGTTCAACAGCTTTTACAACACATCTTAACTTGCATTATTTGTGGATTTAATATATAATTCACTACTGACTGAGGTGTATCAGGTTTTAAAGTATTCTATTTGGTTCTTTTCAACCACACGTCTGTTATCTCTGTAGGACTTTCTCAACATAATTGTTATCTCGGAAAATTAAAAATCTGCATTTAGAATTAAATGTGGTAAAAGTTCTTGATAAAATTGCTCTATTCCTTTCCTTCTGAAATCACCTGTGAGGGAGCTTATGGTATACAATTTCATGTCATATATAATGTGCATACAGTGCACTTATCCCAGCATATCCAGAAATAGTTTTCATTCATGTATTGGGTGCATATTTTGTGACTAAAGCTTAAAAGTCAATACCACTTCTTCTTCCTCAGTGTCTGTGAATGCACAACTTGCCTCTGTCGTGCAGTAAGTCCTGTGAATTTGTTCTTATTTGCCTGTATTGAATGCAGAGGGCTTTGACTCTTCCACTCTAATTACTTTCATAAATATTTTCATATGTTTAAAATATGTTTACAAAGAAACAGCTCATGTGGGAAGAATGTTTGTAAGGTCCTTGACAGCTGCTTGCCAGTGGATCCCGCCATTTTTCTTGTCTGTCCCTGTTGTGTTTCACGGGATGAAGGGATGACTTGCAGCAGGATCCCATGCACAAAGGACACGGATTGGTCCCTTGTCTGCGGGCCTTGGGTACAGTTGTTGGATTTTGAGAGGTATGAGGGGGCATGCATTTTCTTTGAAATGGTTCTTTTCCATTGAATACCATTTAGTTTGTGGTGAGACTAGTCACTAAATTCTGCAGTGTTGTAAAAACCAAACTAGTCTGAGGTATTGTACTTGTTTTGAGACTTCCAGTTCTTTCACGTCTGTTTGCCAGTTAGTAGCACTCTTCTAAACACAATTTTTTCCTTGGATCTCTTTCATGAAACTATGACAAGCAAGGAACAAATTTCACCAAACTGACCTTTCAAACATTTTAATTGCATACTCATTT